ATAGGAACAGCAGTGGTCACTTTTCCCACCTGCCAGGTTAGACATGTGACAGGACCATTGGCAGACCACGGCACTGCCCTGGTCACTAAACGGCCACTTAAAAGCAGTGGGTCAGCAAGGTCACCCATGTCCCTCAAGAGGTGGCGGGCAGGAAAGGGAGTAGGTATCTCTCCCATATCAACTTGCCCCATTATTTGCTTCTCTCTCCGCTTCTAAGGTAAGGAAGATCTGGCTCCAATCAGTGTCCACCATCGCAATGGAGCCCAAGCCTCATCAACGTGGGCACTCGCATTTCAGTCTGAGTCAGGGGTCATCATGAGGAGCAGGAACATTGCCCGCTCCCCCCTCTCATCATGGCATCTCCTCTGGCCCTAGTATCCCAGAGAATGAGGGGCTCGCACCCTGAGATTTTCCTGATCGGTATGGCTCAGCACTCCAGAGCCCAATGTACTAAAGGTCAGAGGTTGTGCCACACAAGAGCTGGGAGCAACTGTGAATGGAGTCTCCACCTCTGAGAAACAGCACAATATGAAAAGGAAAGGAAGATTGATTTGACAAAAACACAACAGAGTTCAATCCGCACATTCCTTCTGCCCGAATACCTAATGCAATGTGAAAGGTTCAGTTTAGAGTGAATTCATCCGAAATACACTCAAAAACAAGGGATTATCCAGCTCCTTTGGGAATGGCAAGGCTGTGTACTCAGTGCTAATAAAACTGAGTAACCATTTCCCATCAAAATTAAAGGCAGAGAGAGAGGGTGGGTGGAAAATAAATGAGCAATCCAATCTGTGAGTGGTATTACTAAGATAAGGGGCACATCAGGGTAGACAGAAAGACATAACTCCTCTGGTGTGAGACACCCGAATGAGGAAGCCACAGCTTTATACTTAGAGCTGTTATTCAGAAGTGCTATTAGGAAGATGATTGTAGAATGTAGAACTCTCTCCTGCAGGAAGCTGCGACATTAGGTTAATTGAAAACCTGAAATGGAGATTGATTGAATGTTGTTAGACAAGCAGATGGAGGGCTTTTGTGGCACAACGGTGGTGTCCCTACCTCTGAACAAGGAGGTCGGGGTTCAAGCCCTGTATGTAATTACATCTCTGAACAGGTTGATTAGAAAATATCTGAGGCAACAGTATTTCAAAATGTGGAATCAAGGCTACCAGAAAGAAGAGATTCAGAGCTACTATTTCCAAATTGAATAGAGTAGAGGCTCAGTGGCAATTTCTGTTTCTGTATCCCAATGGTTTCAGTTTATCCTCCTGATTCAGCGTGTTAACTGTGACTTAGTGTGTAGTACTCTCTCACCTCCAAGTGCCCACTCCAGAGACTTCAGTGTTGTATAAACAGAGACTTTGGACCCTGGAGGAAGCTTACAATGATGTCATGGAGCTGCACCCCACCAGACATAAATAGCACAGTGTGGACACAGTCAGATTTGCTGGAAGAAAGATTGACTTGAGAGAAGATTCTCTTGTCAGTGCAGCAGTAAGATTTCAGCCTGGTATATCTTAGATTAGCGTGTAGAAGGATATTTAGCATTATTGAACAAAGCTCCAAATATGCCTAAATCTGGAGATAATTCTTGATAATGCCTTGTCTTTGTCTTGAACCAAATCTTTGATTAGTGCATAAAACCACACAAGAGAAGCTTAAGACATAATCTAAGCTGACAGTCCAGGGCAGTAGTGTCAGAGTGCTGTACTTTTTAGATGGGACGTCAAACTGAGACCCTGTGTTGTGTTTTATTCTTGGGATGGGAGCATTGCATTTAAGGGCAGCATTTATTGCCCCTCCCAGGTGGTGTATCATCCATGCATTTAAAAGATCCCATGGTACTATTTGAAGATCAGAGTTATTTCCTGTGTCCTGGCCAATATTTATCCCTCAAATTAACATCACCGAAACAGATTCCTGCATAGTGATCAAATCACTGTTTGTGGGATCTTACTGCATGCAAATTGGCTGCTGCATTTCTTACATTTCAACAGAAACTGCAGAGTGCCTCTTTAGCTGCAGTGTTCTTTGGGGCAACTTGAGATGGTGAGAGATGCTATGGAAATGCACAACCTTCTAGGTACAGAGCCACTTGTATAACAAAGGTTTTTCTCCCTTACCCGAGGGGACGCTGGATCAGAGCCGGGTGTATCTGTTGGACGCCCAAAGCAAATCCTGAAAACAAAACAGATTAGATATAAATAAAACTACTGCAAGAGAGAAGTAGTTGGAATCCCGAGACAGAGACAGACACTTATTAATTAGACAGTGGGGGATGTTTAAACCAATGTGGTCAATATCTCGGATGAAGATCTTCCTACTCTGCCTTCAATGTGGTTTTGTTTTAATTCAGTCATGGGATGTGGGTATTACTGGATGGGCCAGTATTTATTGCCCGCGAGAATGTGAGCTGCCTTCTTGAAGCACTGCAGTCCATTTGCTGTAGATAGACCCACAATACACTTAGGGAGGGATTTCCAGGATTTTCACCCAGCGATACTGAAGGAACAGCGATATATTTCCAAGTCAGGACAGAGAGGCGGTGGTGTTCCCAAGCACTCTAGACCCAAACATCTTCAGCTGCTACATCAATGACCTTCCCTCCAGAAGTGGATAGTGTACAAAGTGTTCGGCACCATTCACAACTCCTCAGACACTGAAGTAGGCCATGTCAATGTGTAGCAAGACCTGGACGACATTCAGATCCTTGTCCTTCTACATAGCTAAGGTCACAGGTTCCGCAGATGGCAATTGAAGTGGTGAATTGCTGTTGTACATCTTCCCTGGATGCTGACAATGATGTACAAGATGCTAATCAAACTGGCTGCTTTTTCCTGGATGGTGCCAAGCTTCTTGAGAGTTGGTGGAGTGCACCCATCCAGGCACGTGGGGAATAAATGATCACACTTGTGCCTTGTCAATGGTAGACAGGCTTTGGAGAGTCAGGAGATGAGTTATGTGCTGCAGAACTTCTAGCCCCTGACATGCTCTTGTAGCCACAGTATTTATATGGCGAGTCCATTCAGTTTCTGGTCAATGGTAACCCCAGGTTGTAGATAATGGGGCATTTAGAGATGCAACACCATGCAGTGTCAATGGACAATGGTTACATTCTCTCGTGTTGCAGATGGTCATTGCCTGTCAACTGTGTGGCACAAATGTTACTGGCTACTCGTTGGCCCAAGCCTGGATATTGTCCAGATCTTGTTGCATTTGAACATGGACTGCTTCAGTATCCGAGGTATCACGAATGGTGCTGAACATTGTACAATCAACGGCGAACATTCCTACTTCTGACATCATGATGGTCATTGATGAAGCAGCTGAAGCTGGTTGGGCCTAGGACATTACCCTGAGGAACTCCTGCAGAGATGTTCCGAGTGTTACAGAATTACTGAAATCTCTGTTCCCTTAATAATAGTGTTTTTTGAAATGGAAAGGGTGTACAGGTAGTTCTGCTATAACACATGTTTCATTAACGTGAATTGGCTAAAACGCAATTGATAATGGTGGACACTGTTTGGATAACACGAAGTTTCTGCTGTACAGGTATAGCAATTTTCTTATTGATTTCCCTATAACGCAATTTTCTACAGTGTGATTTTCTACACTCGAGGTCACACAAGAACACAACTATCGCATTATAGGAGAACTACCTGTATGTCTCTTAACCGGAGGGTGTGGACTGTTAAATAATGAGCAGCAAGCTCTTCGTGATGTTTAAAGAAAAGATTATTATTAATGGAAAAATCTAATGATTAGTCATCATTCTCCCAGTAGCGTGGGTGCACATACACCAATTCTGAAGAAAAGTGCAGTTAAAGCAAATAGTGCACAATTTCAAGTCATTAAATAAATTTATAATTTATAATTATAATTAGTAATTGGCTTGTGAATTCAGAAACCAAAAATAGGTGTATCGTGAGACATTGCACTATTGTCTTGAAAAGATGGGACTTTCTGTAGGTCACAAAGTGTGGTACCTATTCTCTTGTTACCCAGAGATCAGTTTGCTGTATCAGTGAACTTGAAGAGGAACAGATTAGAGATTTTACTGTGTCCAGATGTTGCTGCCCTGTCTGCTTTTCCATTGGCAGCACTTAACAGAGGCTTTTAAAAATGGTCAAAATGACTCCCTTACCATGTGGTTTCTCATGGTTTCTTTTGCCAAATATGGTGCTGGGTTTGGTTGATTAGTCACAGTCTGGGTTATTGTTTGCAGACGTTCACCTTGGAGTGAGAGAGAATCATCATCTTGGCCTCAGGCTAACCCATTCAAGTCAAGAAACACCTTTTCCGTGGTTTCTGTAGATGGGTAGTGTTCAAATGGCATTTGTTTTCAAATAGAAAAGGTTCATTCTAGAGGATTCTGTACTGAGTACTATATATGTTTTAAAAGGCATGGATAGGACATGCCATGAGTGGCCAATGATATGGAGTTGAAGTGACTGACCTCCAACAGCCACAATCATCTTGCTAAGTGCCAGGTTTGACGCCCAATGAGTGGAGAGTTTGCCCCCTGATACCAGTTTTACTAGGGCTCTTTGATACCACATTCAGTCAAATGTAGCCTTGATATCGAGGGCAGTCACTCTCACCTCACCTCAGGAATTCAGATCTTTTGTCTGTGCTTGAACCAAGACTGTATTGAAGTTAGAAGCTGACTATTTCTGGCAAAACCCAAACTGAGCATCAGTGAGCAGGTTATTGCTCTGTATGTGCCACTTGATACTACTGTTAATGATGTCATTTTTCTGAAGGATATCCCAACTTTAATGCCCCTCCAAGCACTGTCTCCTGATCAACTACCCTAATACCTCCGAGCAGATGGCCTTTTGGCAGAGGCCTGCAACAATAGGAGACAGTAACAAACCTGTCCCAGGGACCCTGCTTACCTGACTCTATGGTTACAAATACTAAGGGGCATAGGTTTAAGGTGAGATGGAGGAAGTTTAAAGGAGATGTGTGAGGCAAGTTTCTTTTTGGTGTTAGGTGCCTGGAACATGCTGCCAGGGGAGGTGGTCAAAACAGATAAGAGGCATTTAGCCAGACACATGAATGGGCAGAGAATAGAGGGGTCCAGACTATATGCAGGCAGATAGGATTAGGATGGAATGGCATAATGGCTGGCACAGACATGGTGGGCCAAAGGGTCTGTTCTGGTGCTGTTTTGTTCTATATTCTAAAGGAAGGAAATCTGCCATCTTGCCTGGTCTGGCCTACATGTGAATCCAGACCCAAAGCAGATTTAATTGTCCACTAAAAAGGCCTAGCCTGCCACTCAGTTCAGTACTGATGGGTAAGAAATGCTGGCAGTGTCCACATGTCATTCAAGAAAGAAGAAATACAGGACACCAGGCTCTGTACAAAGGTTGGTTACGTACCAGTTTGTATGGCTCTTGGTTTTGCTCCCAGGTAGGCTAGATTGACGTTGGCTTTTCTGCCATCAATGATGGGATTGGGATCTTTACATGCTCGGTCCGCTGCCACCCTGTCTGCCATGGTGACCTGCAGCAACAAAAATAGACAGAACGGTCAGTTATTGTACTGAACTAGTACACACAGCTCCCGCAGTCGATGCAGAGGTCAAGTTAATCAGGAAAGTAAGCGACACAGAGCAGTAAGGCCTGGGCTGGACGCATAACCTGAGCCACTGGACCTGATCCAGGGCTAGGCACCTGCAGCTATATCATAACCCACCCCAGGCTCACTAGTCTACTACAGCTCAGTGTATACAAGCTCACAGAGACAGAAAGGACAACATTCAGCCTCCTTGCATTTAGGGGACATGATGGCCAAGTGGTATTATTGCTGGACTATTAATCCAAAAACTCAATGTTCTAGGGACTGAGTTCAAATCCCACCATAGTAGATGGTGGAATCTGAATTCAATTCTTAAAAAAAAGCTGTACTTAAGAGTCTAATGATGAGCATGAACCATTGCCAATGGTTGGAAAAAAACCATCTGGTTTACTGATGTCCTTCAGGGAAGGAAATCTGCCATCCTTACCTGGTCTGACCTACATGTGACTCCTGACCTACAGCAATGTGGTTGACTCTCAACTGCCCTATCAAGCCATTCTGTTCAAGGGCATCTAGGGACAAGCAATGAATGCTGGCCAATCAGCGACGTCCGTGTGTAGGGAGTTAATTAAAAAAAAATCTAAAAAAAAAAACAGATCTACTCCAAAACCTTAAAAAAAGTCCCAGAACTCAGGTTAGAACAGTCTGAGGACAAAGTAAATCTAAACCATCACATTTACAGAAGGAATCTTCTAGACTTTGAGGATGTCTCAATTCATCAACAGCCAAAATGGCACGGTTCAAATGAATGGATAATCTATGAAAATGATAGGGTTAGGTTTGACTGAGGGATAAATGTTGGACAAGGAACCTGAAAGAACTCCTCTGTTCTTCTCCTGGCAAGGTTTGAGATCTCTTACACCAAACCTGACCTCTGGTCAGACAACACCTCTCTCTCTCTCAGAACTGCAGGGCAGTGTTAATGAACAGTAGTCAGTCAACCTCTGGAGTGGGGTTTAGTCCTATAGCTTACACCTCAGAAAGTGGAAACACTAGCCTTGGGGCAAACACTCCCAAGTTATATGAATTTTCAAAAAGTGTTTGATAAGGGCTTGTATAACAGACTTACAGCAAAGATAACGGCAAATAGAATTCAAGGGAATGTGACTACCTGATAAGAGAATTGGATGAAGCAAAGACATAGAAGCGTGGAGATATTAAAAACAAATTTTGCAATTAATTGTAAAGCACTTTTTGCAACCTCAAAACTTTCCAAGGCACTTGACAACCAAATAAGTTTAAGGGGCACTCCTGCAAGGTCCCAAAACACAACAACTCAACAATATTATGATGACTAGATGATACGTTCCAACGATGCTAGTCACAATGTGACTATCTCATTACATGTTAGACAACATAAAACATTAATTGCTAAAACTAACAGTAACTGTAGCAAACAGGGGCCTCTGACTCAGAAGCTGATATCAATAGTCTCATGGCACATTGCCAATGTCCTTACCTCTGGACCAGGAGGCCCGTGTTCAAGTTCCCCACCTGCTCCAGAGATGTGTAATAACAACTCTGAAGAGGTTTGTTAGAAAAATAGGTTAAATAAAAATAAAGGAACTCAAACGAGCCTGGATTTATCACACTTAAGGTAACATGTTCATCTTGCAAGACCAATGGTAGAAGTGTCAAACTTAAACAACAAATGACCCCATCTCTAATCTTGTGCAACAGTAGGAAGTTCCACAATTTAAGTGATTTTATTGAAGTAATTATGTACAATGTTTCCACAGCGAAGGAAGTTAAGAGCAGATTGTAAATAGTTCCTTAACTGGGCTAGCAATTCTGGAGGGAGGATTATCACATCAGTTAGAAACCTAGATTATTCACAAGGGTTACAGAATCAGGGTCATGTTGAAACTAACTTACTTGCATTTCAGATTGAGTCATCCCAAAGCATGCCAGAATGTCATCAGTATGGGATACAGCATGGAGCCTTGGTTAGGATTTTTTTAAAAATTTATCAACATGTAGAACAGAGAAATCTAGGGGTTCAGGTACATAATTCTTACAAGTTTGCATCACATAGGATGGTTAAGAAGGCATTTAGCATTCTTGCCTTCATTGCTCAGACCTTTGGATATAAGAGTTGGGACATCATGATGAGCATTGTACAGGATGTTGATTAGGCCTCTTCTGGAATACTGTGTCCAGTTCTGGTTGTCCTGAGGCATAAATCCATCTGTTAATTTCCAGGTGTACAGGTTTCTTCTTTAAAAGTTAACCGGGTTATAGTGGTGGTGAGATAAATATTCCCAAGAAGCCAAAGAAATTTCCCTGCTCTTCTTCAAATAAAAAGGGGTTCTGCAGGATCTGCTATCTCCAGGAGAGCGAACAGGAGCTGTTGTGATACCTCACCCCAGCAATGAAGCACTCTCTCAGCACTGCAGTGCAATACCAGCCTAGATGATTAGCTCAAGTTTTCTGAGTGGCTCTTGAATCCATAACCTGGTGATTCAGAGATGAGACAGTAAGATGCGTCCCCAGGCCCAGGGGGTGTTCCACAAGATGCTGCCCAGGAGTGATTTTGAGACTTAGCAAAATGACAGCAAACTGGAGCGTTGAACCAACTGTGAAAGACCAAAGGAGCTCACGTAGGCTGAGATAATGGGCAGGTTGGACCAATATTCTGCACTGTGCTCTCAGGGTCAGCATAAGGTGCCCCTCCATACTGGTATGGCACCATTAATAAGACAATCGCACAGAAGGTGCACCCAAGCAAAAGAAAGCAGTATCAATGCAGATCAGGATCTAATAGCTATGATCAAATTGTTCAGTTTGTGTCCTCCAGTGCACTCTAGTCACAGAATGTTTTGCACACATGATACATGTACAGCTCAACACTCAAAAAAAAATGGGGAGAAATGCACAAAGGAACAATGCTTAGAAATCAGTTGAGGAAGGAGATAGTAGATCATTTCTAATGAATGAACACATTGTAACAAGGGCACAACCTTGAGATAATCAGGTAGAGGAGAGTAACAAGTATTTTATACAAAAGGGTCTTTACAACGTGAATATGGTCTCCTCGACCCAATGCAGAAAAAGAATTGATAGGTTGCTGTGAAAGAGAAAGCGGAAAGAGAGGTTGAAAGAGAGGAATATTATCTGATACATGAAGAACAGCACATTGAATTAGAGATTAGAGGAGTTAGATCATATGAAGGAAGCCACTGCAGACTGATGGGCTGAATGGCCTGTTTGTGTGCTGTAATATTCTATGTTTCCACAAACACATATCATGCTGTCTTGTCGCACAGAATGCCCCTCACAGTGCAGCCAGCTGGGAAGGAGATGGTCACCCTATCAAACTGACTGTTTTCCACCCCTTGATCATGTCTGGGTGACCTTACAGAAAGAGCGTTGTTTAAAAGAACTATTCACTCATGGAATGTTGGTGTCACTGGCCGGCCCAGCATTTATTGTCCATCCCTAGCTGCCCCTTGAGAAGGTGGTGGTGGTAAGCTGTCTTCTTGAACCGCTACAGTCCATGTGCTGTTTGTAAGAGAATTCCAGGGTTTTGACACAGCGATAATGAATGAACGGCGATATATTTCCAAGTCAGGATGGTGAGTGGCTTAGAGGGGAACTTGCAGGTGGTGGTGTTCTCAGGTACCTGCTGCTCTTGTCCTCCCAGGTGAAAATGGTCTTGGGTTTGGAAGATGCTGTTTAAGAAGCCTCAGTTATTTTCTGCAGTTCACCTGTAGATAGTCCACACTGCTGCTACTGAGCCTCAGTGATGAAGTGGGTAAATGTTTGTGGATGTGGTGTTGATCAAGCAGGCTGCTTTGTCCTTATTGGTGTCAAGCTTGTTGAGTGCTGTTGGGAGTCGCACGCATCCAGGCAAGTGGGAAATATTGCATTTCAATCCTGACTTGTGCCTTGAACATGGTGGACAGACTTTGGGAAGTTAGGGAGTGAGTTACTCGCTGCAGTATTCCTAGCCTCTGACCTGCTCTTATAGACACTATATCTATATGGTGAGTCCACTTGAGTTTCTGGTCAAAAATGACCCCCAGGAAATGGATAGTGAGGGACTCAGTGATGGTAACAAATGTCAAGGGATGGTTTTTTTCCATCTTATTGGGGATGGTTATTGTCTGGCTTTTGTGTGTTGTGAATGTTACTTGCCCCTTGTCAGCCCAAGCCTGGACATTGTCCAGATCTTGTTGCATGTGAACATGGACTGCTTCAGTATCTGAGGAGTCACGAATGGTGCTGAACATTGTGCGATCATCAGCGAACATCCCCACTTCTGACCTTATGATGGAGGGAAGGTCATTGATGAAGCAGCTGAAGATGGTTGGGCCTAGGTCAGAGAGTCCAGCATTCTTCCTGATGCCTTCCATAACCTGTGGAAGCCATTGGGAATGGACACTGAACAATAAACTCTGTTGTTATTGGCAGAGCCCTTTGGTACTGTTGAAATGGGACTTCTCCGCTTTACTTTTAAAATCTTTCAGTTTGGTCAGACATTCTGCCAGTTTTTTTTTTAAAAGTGGTGTCACTTCCATCAACTGACACTCAGGCAATTCAACCCTGACAGGTGACTGACCCCCAGGATCTCAAAATGACCACATCTCACACACCAACTGGTCCTGTTTTATCCAAAAGTCTTGCTTACAAACAGCAGCCCGAAACAGGCTAGTAACTGAGCTGTGAAGCGTGCTGCTTGCTTTGTTGGGAATGTATCAAACCCTTTCTGTTCAGGCCTGATAAAAAGCCTGAAGTGCAGAATAGCTAACACCCACATTGCAGCTGACCCAGTCTACACCACAAACTGGTTGCAATAACTAACAAAAAAAGTGTGCAGCACAAAGTGACCACTACAAACTGTGCAGATTCCAACTGCAGAAGCGTATTGTTCTTTCAAATGTAGGGGGGGAAAAAAACAGCAAAATTTACAGATAGGGAGTTCGTTCCAGCGAACAATGAGAAGTTTCAAAACATTGTTGACATTTTTCTTTAACTTCTCCCATGGCTGATGTAAAATCCAAACATTGTGTTTATGTCTGCATGACTTTCAGAAACCCACGAAAGGAGATGGACTCCAAAAAAAGCTGCTATTATTGGAAGCTTTCTGTGCACAAACTGATTGCTGTGTTCCCAACATTGCAGCAATAAATACACTTCAAAAGTACTTCACTGGCTATAAAAGGAAATGTCTGGGGTATTCAGAGATTGTGACAGGCGCTAAATGAATGCAAACTATTTCCAAAACAGTTCCCGATGCAGGGAGCCTGAATCATGGGACTGGAGTATCTAACATCTGCAGCAAGTACCTGGTACCTGAGAAGGCACTCTTGAAAAACAATGACAAGAGAGACTTCCACACATTAGGTCGGTCAATGGATTGCAATTAACATTTGGTTCTGATTAAACTAACTCCAGCCCTGCGCCTGACTTGGGTCTTGTGACAATTAACTGCTGAAGTTTCCTTAATTGAGTATTTAATCATGAATGTTAAAAACAATGAAACTTTGGATATTGACTATTGCTGGTGAAAACAATACTTTATATCTGCATGACGTTATTTGTGATTTCACATTTGCACAACAGAAGCCAAAAACATAAGGGATGCCAGAATGGAACTGTTACTGTGGTCAGTTTAAGGAAGCTATAGAAATATATGTAGTTATCTACAAACACTGAGTGAATCACTTCTGGTGAATCCACTTCTCATGCACTAACTCCCAGCCTACCCAAACTGTCCCTCTACATTGATCCAGCACTGTACTCAGTCAGCTCCTCCCAGTCCCTTCCCTGGAGACATGACTTAAAAAGGAGATTGCTGGGGCATTTTGTCAGTCACATCTGCAATTATTTATTCTATTTTGAAGCTACTAATGGATGTGTTTGCTCAGTACGATTGAAGGCAGCAGAAGTGCTATGGTTAGCTGATTAAAATCTCACTTTGACTCAACCGAAACAACACATCTGAAATAAAGTGCTTGGCAAAGCTTCAAACATTGAGACACATTCTCTTCTCTGAATAATATTCTCCCACCCCCTCCAGCACCCTCCATAAAGAGTGTTATTACAGGGGTTTGAAGAAATACTCAGTTCAATGGACTCTCCATTGTCCCCTCACCTTCTGAAGGAAGAGTTATGTTTGTATGGACAGTTACAATTACCACAGCAGAGATCTAGAGGAGAAGCCTTGAAAAGTTAACGGTCTCTCCAAAGACCTGCTGAGTTTCTCCAGCAGTCTCTGCTTCTACCTCAGATCTTGAGCATCTGCAGTGTTTGCTTTTATGAGAGCAGGCTATTCTACAGTGAGGGCATCACCAATTCTGCTCCCTAGACAATATTTACAACATGCACTTTACTGCAGGAAGCTATTGGATAACCACTTGGAGCAGGAATTGTTGGTCTCTTCTACCAACCTCGTGCCTCCTACCCCCCCCCCTCCAAAATCCTATTGAACCAGTGGGTGTTGTGGTTAATACGAATGCCCCCCGTTGCTGGGCAGGGAACAGTGCACTCAGCTCTACTCAGACCAGATATTTCCTGTTCTTTAGTGCTCTTAACCCCAGAGTCACAAAGAAAGCTTGACTATTGTTGTTCAAGTGCTTCTATGACCCAACAGTTCCCAGGTCACCAAACCATAGGGAGCAGTTCTATTTAAAGTAGATGAAACTGGATCTGACTGGTCTTTGTCCAGGAGGATATCCGAGGATGAAGAAGTACCAGAAAGCAGGTGGGACACTGTCTGTAATCTTCAGATGGTCATTTGTGGGGGCAATGCAGCTACTAATAATTAATTACTGAAGCTTCCCTAATAATGAAACTTTGGATGTTGACTGTTGCTAATGCAAACAAAGTTGAAGGCCCCCCCCCGCCACCGAAACGCTGACTTTCCCTGCTCCTCGGATGCTGTCTGCTGTGGTTTTCCAGCTCTACATTTACCGACTCTGGCTTCCACCATCTGCAGCCCTTACTGTCTCCAATATCCTTTACCCCTGCATGACTTCGTTTGTGAATTTATGTTTGAACAACAGCAATAAAAAAAACATAAAGGAGGCTGAGATGCCAGAATGGACATTACTCTGGTCAATTTAAGGAAGCCATAGAAAGGTACAAGGTTAGGGAGGCTAAAACCAGCAATTTTGGACGGCTACCATGACCCTTCTCTTCACCCACAGTAGGGGTCACAGATACAGGCAGGCTTATATTCATCCCGCTGTATTTTCAGCGCTCCACCTCTCCCCAATAAATTGGCTATTTCCCACCAAGCCCCATCATCTCGGATCTGTTGTTTCTCTTCACCACATGGCAAGAACGCAAGAAGGTGAAACACAGGGGAAATTCACTGTAAAACAAAGAAAAATGCTACACGGAACAACATTATAGATAGAATTTGTGAGGGGGGGAGATAAGCAAATTTTAAACTAGGACGTGGGACTTATGTTGCAATTCAGAAATCAGCCTAACGGTGTGTTCTCTCTCCCTCTCCTTCAGACTTTAAGTGTACAAGGCACCTGCTATATTCTCCCAGAACCCGTTGAAGCACGAGTGAGATTGCAGCTCTTTACTAACCTCAGTCCTATTTCCTGACGAGCTAACAGGGTTTTTTTTAAAAAAATATATGTATACCTTTTCATTGGCCATGGTAGTTTCTCGAAACAAATATCGGGTGAGAATCAACCGCGCTACTTCTGCATTTGGCGGGGGGGTGGGGAGAAAAAGGGAAGAGGTTTTTTTCACCCCAGTCCCAAGTTATTAACATTTTAACTCGACTGAGTCCTGAACCCAGGCTTATCTTCACTGTTGCTGTCAACAGTCTGCTTCCCCCCCTCCCTCCCCAGGAACCCCATCCCCATTTTAAAACAGACTGCTGGAGTTTTAATCCCCTAACGGCAGGGGAAGAGGGCTCAGTAAATCCGGGTAGGCGCTAGCCAAACGCAGCCCGCCCTCCCGCCAGTACTCACAAAGCCGTAGCCCCTGGATTTCCCGGTCTGCCGGTCAGTAATGACCACCGCCTCCTCGATGTCCCCAAACACCTCGAAATATTTCCGCAAGGACGAATCGTTAGTGTGATAGGGCAAACCGCCCACAAAGATCTTGGTGAAGGTAGTGTCCTTCTGGAGGCTGTGCATGGTGTCAAGGTCAGTGCAGGCTTGCGAGAGCATTGAGCAGGAGTCCGGGCTTGGGAACAATTTCAGCTTCCCCCCCCCCCCCCCCAACCCGGTGCTCAGCACACACAGCCCATCCACTCCCAGCCCAACGCAGCCTACAGCCCTACCGCTTATAGCCTGAGCTAAGCTCCACCTCGCTGCTTGCTGCACACAGACTGTAGGAAGTCTGGTTCCTTATTTGTAGAGAGAGAGAGAAATCAGGGGCTGTACTTTACAGCAACCTCACTTTGTACTATTCAAGCAAAAGGTTCCAGAAACCTCTCGGCTGGGAGATTTATTTAACCCTTTGCAATCATACAGCATGGAAACAGACCCTTCTGTCCAACTGGTCCATGCCAACCAGATATCCTAAATTAATCTAGTCCCATTTATAGAGTCATAGAGCTGTGCAGCAAAGAAACAGACCCTTCGGTCCGACTCATCCATGCCGACCAGATATCGTAAATTACTCTAGAGATAGTAAGAACTGCCGATGCTGGAGTCAGTGATAACACAGTGTGGAGCTGGGGGAACACAGCGGGCCAGGCAGCATCAGAGGAGCAGGAAAGTTGACGTTTCGGGTCGGGACCCTTCTTCAGAAAATTAATCTAGATCCATTTGCCAAAATTTGGCCCATATACCTGTAAATTCATGTACCCTTCCAGATGTGCCATAGTGATGTACAGCACTGAAACAGACTCTTCAGTCCAACTTGTCCATGCCAACCACATATTCGAAATTAATCTAGTCCCATTCGCCAGCATTTCCCTCTAACCCCTTCCTATTCATGTACACATCTAGATGACTTTCAAATGTTGGAATTGTACCAGTCTTGAGGCATAGATAAGTTAGATAGCTGACAGCTTTTCCCTTGGTAAGGGAGTCTAAAACTAGAGGGCATTGGTTTAAGGAGAGAGGGGAGAGATACAAAAAGGTTCCAAGGGGCAATTTTTTCACACAGAGGGTGGTGAGTGCCTGGAACAGGCTGTCAGAGGTAGTGGTGGAGGCGAGTACAATTTTGTCATTTCAAATACATTTGGAAAGATACATGGATGGGATCGGTGTGGAGGGATATGGACCAAACACAGGCAAATGGGACTGGCTTAATTGTGAAAACTGGGCAGCATAGGCAAGTTGGGCCAAAGAGCCTGCTTCCATGCTGTAGAACACTATGACTAAACCACTTCCTCTGGCAGCTCATTCCATACATGCATCACCCGCTGCATTAAAAAGCTGTCCCTTAGATCCCTTTCTCCTCTCACCTTAAACCTATGCCCTCTAGTTTTGGACTCCCCTATCCTGGGGAAGAGACTGTGCCTATTTACCCTATCCATGCCCCTCACGATTTTATAAACCTCTATAAGGTCATCCCTCAGCTTCTGCGCTCCAGGGAAAATAGCCCCAACCTATTCAGACTCTCCCTATAGCTCAAACCCGCCAGTCCCGGCAACATCCTTGTAAGTCTTTTCTGTAACCTTTCATGTTTAACTTTGTTTCCAAACCCTTTTTCAAGAGAATGCTCCCCTAAATTCAAATAAAGACTTGCATTGATGTAAGAACCTTTCAGGATTTCAATACGCCGTAATGAAACTCCCCGCTCCCCCCACCCATCCTGAGTATGTGATCAGCCCCCAGTTTGCATACAGCCAGATCCCTCAAGCTGCAATGTGACAAATTTCTATTTTTTTTGGGGGGCTGGGATGCTGCACACACACACACTGTGCTCGCTGAAAATCTGAAATTAAGAACAGAAAATATTCACAGGTCTGGCCAGCATCAGTGAGCACCCTCAACACTGCACCAGAGGATTCTCATCCTGACAGAGACTGAACCACAAGTAACACCTTCACCCTTCAGACTCTGCCCTCTTCCTCTCTTGACTATTGACCTGCCACACTTCCACCTGTCCTGGTTTCATACCATACAATTACCTCTTAAACACCTCACTGCCCTGTCCCCTTTGCAGTCCACTGTTTGCCGCCATGATGGTGCCAATCTTTTCCCCAGAAGATGGGGTTCAGAGGACCACACGGCTCCTACGTGGCACTATCATAGAATCCCCACAGTGTGGAAGCAGGCCATTCAGCCCATAGAGTCCACACCAACACCCCAAAGACCATCCCACCCAAACCCACACCCCTACTCTATTCCGATAACCCTGCAATTCCCATGGCTAACCCACTTAGCCTGCACATCCTTGAACACTACAGGCAATTTAGCATGGCCAATCCACCCAACCTGCACATCTTTAGACTGTAGGGAGAAACTGGAGCACCCAGAGAAAGCCCACGCAGACACGGGGAGAATGTGCAAACTCCACGCAGACAGTCGCCTGAGGGTGATATTGAACCCGGGTCCCTGGCGCTGTGAGGCAGCAGTGCTAACCACTGAGCCACCGTGCCGCCCCTCGGGGGGGAAACCCAGTCTGTCTCTGCATTTCCAGGAACACATTCAACCAGCTGAGCACTGGGCATTGGTCACTGGCCACTGATGCAGGTCTTTCCAAAGTGGGGGCCAGGATTTCAGGGGTAATGAGTTCAGAGGCAGCACTGGTTAACCTTCCCTCCTCCCTCCTGCTGTGGCAAATCTTCTCCCCTTATCACTCGCCCAGGGGACCACCACGTTTTACAGGCTTCGAATTTGAGGTTGCAGTGCATAGATGTTTGAGAAGCAGTGGGTCGATGAAAGGGCACAGAACTGAATCGTTAAATCCATTTCTCGCTCAACTGATGCTGACAGGGCTGCTGAATATTTTCAGCACACTCTATTTTCATTTCAAATTTCCAGCCTTTGCAGTATTTTGGTTTCTTGTAGCAGTGGGATGTGTTGTGTATATCTGTCTGTCTGTCTGTTTGTGTGTGTGTCTGGCTGTTTGTGTGTGTGTCTCTGTTTGTGTGTGTGCGTTTGTGTACGTGTGTGTGTTTGTGTATGTCTGTCTGTCTGTTTGTGTGTGAGTCTGTTTTTGTGTGTGTCCGTGTGTGTCTGTTTTTGTGCATGTGTGTGTGTGTCTGTGTGTAGTCAGAAGCAGTTCAAAGTTAGTGACATGTCATAAAACTGTTTAGAATGCCCTCACTGTTTTTGAATTCCACATTCAGTTTTGTCCCTCCTTCCTCTACTGAATATGTTCACCTGAATTGTTCTCTACTACCTCACACAATGTGTCCCCTGGTCATACCTGTTAGTCACCTGTCTGCTGAATAGAGACTTTGGAGGGTAAAAGAAACTAAAGGTTTAGTCAAAAGGATGACAGCGAGTTTTATGGAGGGAATTCCTGAGCTTGGGACATTAGGTGGGTGAAAGTACAGCCACAATTGGAGCAATGTGAGGGAGGAAGACTCCAAAAGCCAGAGTTAAAAATATGAAGAATTTGCAGAGAGGTTCCCAGGCTGGAGGGTTCTACAGAAAAAGTGGACAAGACAAGACAATGATTCAAACACAGAGATATGAATTTCAATTGTGTGGTATTGCTTGGACCATGAGCCACTGTAGGTCAGAGGGCACATGGATGATGGGTGAATGGGACTTGGTGAGGAGGATATGAGACACTGAAGTTTGGATTAGTTGAAGACTATGGAGGGTGGAGGCCAGACTGTCAAACATTGACATCGATAGTTTGAAGATCAGAAATGAATTGCGAAAGTCTTAAGTAGTAGGTAAAGTGTGGCACAGGCAGTGGTGGGTGATAGCACATCTTTGAAATCATTCTCCTTAACCTGGGATCCACATAGGCGCAGTAAGGGTGTACTTACTTCACCCAGGTCACTGAATGCAATTGTAGTGTAAAGACCAAGTCTTTTTATTTTTCTGTATTTTTGAATGTGCTCTGAAGTGGGGAAAAGGACTGTTCTAAAGCCAAGGATTATTCCTTTACAAGATGAGGGAATCGCTGGCCAGGCAGCATGTATTGCCCATCCCTCATTACCCAGAGGGCAGTTCAGAGTCAACCACATTGCTGTGGGTCTGGAGTCACATGTAGGCCAGACCAGGTAAGGATGGAAGTTTCCTTCCCTAAAGGACATTAGTGAACCAGATGGGTTTTAACCAACAATCAATTCGTGGTCATCATTAGATTCTTAATTCTAGATATTTTATTGAATTCAAATTCCACCATCTGCTGTGGCAGGATTTGAACCTGGGTCCCCAGAACACTATCTGGGTTTTTGGATTAATAGTCCGGCAATAATACCACTAGGCCATCGCCTCCCCTACCCTTTTCAAAAGCAAGTTACCAGGCACTCATTGCGTGTGCTGTTTACATAGCTGCTGATTTAAGCAAGGGTGAAGCCAAGTTTCATTCCAACTCCAGCCAGGGGCCTGTGTGCAAATGGAGATGTGGTCGGCAACAAGTAGCTGATTGGTCTGTTGTATGGTAACCAGTAACCAATGACAAAGGCCTTCTGCCTGTCAGTAATGATGTGATTGCCTCCCAGAGAGCTGAACATCTTGAGGATGTTAATGTAATGAGTTATAAGCCATCAGACATCCAGAGGAGAATGAACTGTTTTCCTTCTGCAGTAAAAGCATCTCCAGCCCGAAACTGGCCTTTATTTCCCATTTCCATTTGCTGTAAGCTGTGACTTTTTATTGGTAAGTCAAAAACCTTTAATAAGTGTGAGCCAGTCATCCTGTGTCACCTACAACCCAGTGATCGTAGTATCTGGAGAAGAAAGACTGAGAAGCACAAGAACCATTACAGAAGATCCTGTGAACTGCTTTCCCAGTTTTCCTTCTGCCCATAACACCCTTGTTTTGTTTTCCTGTCTGTATCTATCTGTCTGTAAGGGGGAGTTTATAAGGAGTTAGAGATTTAACTTGCAGAGTTATATACAGACTATCCCCTTTCTTCTCGGCTCTGTTTCTCATATTTCTGCTTTTGTTTTTTATTAAATTCTGTTTTTTGTATCTAAAGTGGTTGGTTTGGTGTCGTATCTAAGATGGTTGTTTCTGTTAAGGCTGCTTTTTTTGTGCCTAAGATGGTGCTGAGAATGGCAACTTTGTACACTTTTCACCATATCCCTGTACATGAGTACACATGACAATGAAACCTAATTCTATATACTCATGGTTTATAATTGTCTACCTGTAATTAGAGTCTAATTACTTGTAATAAATAGTAAGTCTTGTTAAGTACAGAATCCTGGCCCATGCTTTCTATCAACCTGGGTCTGAAGACAGGTAAATTGTGGAATTTTGCTT